GCAAGGAAAATTTGAAAGCAGCAAGAGGAAAATCACAGATTGTACAGAGGAGCAACAGTCTTAGTAACAGGTGACTTTTCTTCAAAAATCATGGAGGCCAGAAGAGAGTGGACCAAAAAACCTTGTCAACTCCAGATTCTATATCCAGTGAAAATAATATTCAAGAATAGGCCAGGCATGGTGGCTCATGCCTATAATCCCAGGACTTTGGGAGGCCAAGGCAAATGGATTGCCTGAACCCAGGAGTTTGAGACCAACCCAGGCAAAATCAATCTCATATCTACAAAAAATGGAAAATGTAGCCAGACGTGGTGGTGCATTCCTGTAGTCCCAGCTATTTGGGAGGCCGAAGTGGGAGAGGATCACCTGAGCTCGGGAGGTTGAGGCTGCACTGAGCTGTGATTGTACCAACATACTCCAGCCTGGGTGACAGAGTAAGATCCTGTCTCAAAAAAAAAAAAAAAAAGAACAGACATTTTCATTTAAAAGAAAGTTACAGCATTAATTACCAGCAAACCTGCACTATAAGAAATACTAAAGAAAGTTGTTCAGCCTGGAGAAAAACCAGATCGAAACTTGGATTCCCTGAAAATAATAAAAAGCATGAGTAATGGCAAGTACCTGGCTAAACTCAAGATTTTTTTCTTTTCTTCCCTTTACCTCTTAATTATTTTAATAAACCACATTTTAAAAATTATAACATGGTCTTGTAGGGTTTGTTATGTTATAGATGACTACATATAAAAACTATAAGGCCGGGTGCAGTGGCTCAAGCCTGTAATCCCAGCACTTTGGGAGGCTGAGGCGGGTGGATCACGAGGTCAAGAGATCGAGACCATCCTGGTCAACATGGTGAAACCCCGTCTCTACTAAAAATACAAAAATTAGCTGGGCATGGTGGTGCATGCCTGTAATCCCAGCTACTCAGGAGGCTGAGGCAGGAGAATTGCCTGAACCCAGGAGGCGGAGATTGTGGTGAGCCGAGATCGCGCCATTGCACTCCAGCCTGGGTAACAAGAAAAAAAACAAACAAACTATAAAATAAAAAGGAACATGGACTAATAGGGTTGCAAGATTTCTGTATTTTATGTGAAGTGCTGAAGTAATTATTGTAAGCACTCAGTGAAGTTGAGAGTGTGTGTGTGTGTGTGTGTGTGTGAATTCCTTCCACAACCACTAGAAAAATTAAGAAGTCTAGCTAAATGAAAACAGGAAAATTAAAAAAGAAATCTGAAAAATATTCAAAGAATTTAAAAGGAAAAATCACAAAAGAAGGAACAAAGGAAGAACAACAGAAGAGACAAAAACAACCCAGATCCTAAAGGCCAGCATAGGAATGACTGCAGTAAGTGCTGAGAAACAATCCGGTCAAGAAGCAGAGACTGTCAAAATGGACGCGAAAAAACTGTCATGTTTATCATAGAAGAACCTGCCAATATAAAGGCAGATAGGTTGAAAGAAAACGGATAGAAAAATACAGCATGCAGACAGCAGACATCAAAAGGCTAGACTGGCTAGACTGATATCAGGTAAATATACTTAAAACAAAATGTACATTGCATATTGTTAAGTGGAGAATTTTACATTATATGAAATTTCATGTTATATCGACTATGTCACAATGAGGTGCGTCATCATATAATTTCATTACTCCATAATGATAAAAGTCTTATTGTCAAGGACAACACAACAATCAAAATTTACATGCACCCAAGATATGAAGCAAAAACATGTGAGGCAAATAACTGACAGAATGAAAGGGCAAAAGAGACAGTTCCACAAACATCACTGGAAATATTAACATCTCTACCGAGCAAGTACTAGAACAATTAGAACAGAAAATCAGTAAAGACATAGAAGTTTTGAACAATATTATCAACTAACGTGACTTGATATTTATAGAACATTGCACCCCAAATGGCAGAATATACATTATACATTATTTTCAAGTGCACCTGGTATGTTTGTCAAAATAGGCCATATTTTGGGCCAAAAAACGTATCTCAATAAATTTGAATAGTTTAAAATCACACAGGCTATGTTCTCTGTCCACAAGGGATTAAACTGGAGTTCAATAATAATGAGATAACCAGGAAAATTTCAAATATCTGGACTTTAACATATAAATAACCACTAGATCAAAGAAGAGTCACAAGTGATATTAGAAAATACGCTAATAATATATAATATACATATGATAATGAAAGCCTATCAAAATTTGTGGGATGTAGGGTAAAACAGCATATATAGAAAACTGTGTAGCTTTAAATGCCTCTCTGGGAAAGAAGCGAAGTCTGTAACTCAATGATCTAAGCTTTTACCTTAAGAAATTACAAAAATAAGTGCAAGTTATTGCTCAAAGTAAACAAAAGGAAGGAAAAGATAAAGGGTAAAAATCAATAAAGTAGAAAAGATAAAAACAATAGAGAAAAATCAATAAAACCAAAAGCTGTTTTTTTGAAATAAACTCAATAAAACTGACCAGCTGTAGTCAAGAAAACAGAAGATACAAATCCCCAATATTAGGAATGAAAGAAGGAATTTCTCTACACGTCCTTTAGACTGGAAAAGAATACTAAGGGCATACTGTGAACAATTCTATGCCGATAAGCTTGACAATCTAGATAAAATAAAATGTTACTTAAAAAGCAAAATTTACCATAACTGACTCAAGAAAATTTGACAGCCCTATATAAATTAAGGAAATTGAATTCATAATAAGAACTTTAACTCCAGATTTAGATCACTACATTGGGGTATTCCGCCAGACATTTAAGGAAGAAATAACACCAATCTTACACCAAAGTTTTCAAACTATGAAAGAAGAGGAAGCATTTCCCAGATCATTTGGTGGGGCTAACATTACCTTTTTTATAAAATCAAATACATCACAAGATCAAAGATCTACAGAGCAATATTACTCAGAGCACAGAAACAAAAATTCCTAACAAAATGCTAGCAGATAAGAATGAATAACATGCAAAAAGAATACTATGTGTCAGATCCAAGTGGGGTTTATCTCAGAATGCAAAGCTGCTTTAACCTCAGAAAATCAATCAATGCAATCTACCACATTAATAGAAAGCAGAAAAAGAACTATATAATTATTTCAATGTAGAAAAAACCATTTGACAAAAATCAACAATCTTTCATGACTAAATCTCTCAGCAACTAGAAATAGAAGTCTTCCTCATCTGATTAAGGTTATCAATTAAAAAACCTACAGCTAACATCAAACTCAATGGTGAAGATGTAATGTTTTCTACCTAAAATCACAAACAAAGCAAAACAAGGATATCCACTCTCACTATTTGGACTTAAATTTGTATTGTAACACCCTAACAGTGAATAAGGCAGGAAAAAGAAAAAGGCAAATTGGAAAGAAGACATAAAACTGTCCTATTTAGAGACATGACTGTGTATGTGGAAAGCTCTAAGAACTCTAGAAAAAAGTTATAAGGATTAATATAGGTCATTTAGTAAAGTTGCAGGATACATGTTCAAAACACAAAAATTAACTATTTCTAATATAGTGGAAAAATAGAAAATAAAAATGTAAATAACAATTTATAATAGTATTAAGAAAATTAAAATATTTTGTCATTAATTTAACAAAATGTGTACAAGACCCACGTACTAAAAACTACAAAATATTTAAAGAAAAACTAAGGAATAATTAAATAAACAGAGAAACATACCAGGCTCAGGGAGTGGGACACTCAATATTTTTAAGATGCTAGTTTTCCCTAGATAGATATATTAATCCAATATCAATCAAAATCCCAGCAAGACTTTTTATAGAAATTTTCAAGCTAATTCTAAAATTTGTATGGAAATGCATACGTTTTGATTATGTTTTTCCAACTTTGTTGTTTTCGAAATTGTTTTATCTAGTTGATTTATGCTAAAACAATTTTGAAGAAAGAACAAAGTTAGAAAACTCACACTACCTGATTTCAAGACTTGCTATAAAGCTATAATAATCAATACAGTGTGGTATAAATGCTGTAAGAAGAGATATATCAATGGAACAGAATAGAGAGTCCAGAAATAGATCTATGCTAATATGGAAATTAATTTTTTGAAAAATGTCAAGGAAATTCAAGAAAATCTTCAATAAATAGTGCTGAGATAATTGGCTATCTGTAGGGGAAAAAAATTGAATTCCCCAAATTAGAACTCTATCCTCAGGGAAAATATTATTCAGAATTAAAGGAGAATAAATGTGTTTTCTCACCATCAAAAACTGATTAAAAATCACCAGGAAACATGAACTAAAGGGAAAAATAAAAGAAGTTCTTTAAGCAGAAGAAAAAGAATCACAGAGAAACAATTGCAGGAAGAAATAAAAGAGCAACAAAAGGGGCAAATATGTAGGTAAATATCAACGAGTACCAATCATATATACTAATAATGCACAGTATTATATATTAGTATGTATTCATGTATTAGTTCATATATTAGTTATATAGTATGTATTCATATATTTTATATTATATATTTATACTAATATATGCTAATTAGTATATATTAGTACATATGTGAGTATATTATCATAATGCTTTGGGAGCTTTAAAATGTGTGTAAAGTGAAATACCTGACAATAATAAAACCAAATATGGAAGGATGTTAATAAAGTGTTCTAAGGCTAACATTCTTGGAGAACCCAACCTAAATAATGTCACATATGATAGTAACAAGGAAGCATGTTGTAATGTCCATAGTATCCATTGAAAGAAATGTAACATAATCTATGACAAGTTAATAAATAGAAAAATGGTATAAATTTCCTTTCTGCCCATAAAGTCACAAAGAGAATGATTTATATACTTTCAGTAACAAATGATTCAAGACTCTGAACTTGTGAAATACTTGAGTCGCTGTCAGTCTTGGTATAAACAAATGCCTGCTACCATGTGAGTCAATTCTTATTCGTCATTTTTTGTTTAGAGTCTTCTTTATAAAAGAGCACATTCATTGACTTAGCCAAAAAGCAAACATAAATTTTAGTGAATATTTTATTTGGACATTTTAAAGTTTTGCTTTGTAACCAGAAGGTATGAGGGTGAACATTTATTCATAGTCACTGAACTCTAACCAAGTCCTATTGTAGTGTATTTGCGGGTAAAATGGTTGGAAGTAGCATGCTCAAGACACTTACAATTTTGAAAAAGCAGCCATGCATCTCATCGATCACCATAGGTGCTCCCAGAACACAGCTCCTCCGTAATCCTGCTCTTCAGTGCTAGCATTGTTGATTCCTTAGATTCTGTATTTCCCTTCCTCCTCTCACTTGATACCTCCCTTACGTCGATCAAGGACTGGACTGCAGTGGAAGGTGCAGGGAATTTTTGTAGGAATTGTTTGGCTTATTAGTCCATCAGCCAATAATGTTCCCAGAGTCATGCCCTTGTCTCAGGTGAAGCTGTGGAAGTTTTTGAAGGAAGCAGCTGCCCCTCTGTCATTCTGTGAAGTTCTACAGTCCAAGTGGGAGTCAGGGTGATATGTTTTGGATGCTCCCCCCTCCAAAACTCACGTTGAAATGTAATCCCCAGTGCTGGAGTGGGCCCTGGTAGGAGGTATGTGGGTCATGGGGTTGGATTCCTCATCACTTAATGCTGTCCTGGTGACAGTGAGTTCTCGAGAGCTGTGGCTGTTTTAAGAGTGTATGACACCTCCTTACCACTGTGTCTTGCTCCTGCTCTGCCATGTGAGACACTGGCTCCCCCTTCACCTTCTGCTGTGAGTAAAAGCTCTCTCAGGTCTCTCCAGAATCCGAGCAGATGCTGATACCATGCTTCCTGTACACTCGGCAGAACTGTGAGTCAATTAAGTCTCTTCTTTATAAGTTATCCAGTCTCAGATATTTCTTTTTAAAAAAAAATCTATTTATTGTTCTACTTTTTTTTTTTTTTCAAATTCTCCTAGATCCTGATCAGGTATTTCTTTATAGCAACACAAGAACAGCCTAACACACAGGATTAAGTTGATTCCAGGTAAATAAATTAAGAGAAGCAATGACTCACTGGAGATAGCAGCAAACTCAGCCCAGTTTTATGGCAAAGAAGTCAAGTGAATTATGAAAATTGAGGGTACACACGAAGGGGTGGCAGGGAACGGGATACTCTTGAAGATGGTCAGTGTTTCCTGGGTTTGAACTTCAGAGCCACACTGTTGATGCAAAACCTCTGACCGTTGGGCCCAGGTCCATCAGGAAACACGTGACCAAGATGAGCTTCACACTGCAAAGGAGAGAAGCCTCTGTCATCTCCACATGCAAACAAAGCTCTTTGTAGAACCAGACAGAGGAACCCCTCCATGGCCACTCCACTCCGGAGCCTGACATCTGTGTTAGCAGAAAAAGTCTATTGCATCAGAATTCAGTTAAGAAATGAAAGAAAGCAGGACACCATCATGGTAAATAGCTTTACTTTATCAATAGGATGTGAGCAAATTATTAAATTTGGGCCTTGAGTTACTCATCTAAAAATGGGGATAATTATCATACCTAAGTAAGAGAGCTGTGGGGACAATTAATTGATATATAGTATCTAAAGCATTAATGTAATTCCTGGGTAAGTGCTGAATAATGTTGTAGTACCCAGTGTATTATTATTATTTATTACTGAAGGCAAAAAGACTCTAACTTAATTGGCTTGCCTCTAGTGTTTTACAAAACCCATTACTCAAAAAAATGTGAGCACCTAAGGATATCAAAATGAATTTATGATCTGGATTTAAGCCACTCTCTCCTGCTGGGCTCACAGAAGGCACAGAGTGCTGATGTCACCCGCAGCATTGCTCTGCAGGCCAGTGACTTGCTGCAGAGTGCAAAAGGAAGGTGGAGAGATGGAGGTGCCAGCCACGCTGAGTAAGTCAACAATGAGATGCCAGCCACTCTGGGCTTTCTGCTCCTTATCTCTGCACAAAAGAAAGTGAAGATCCTACCTCTGTTCCTGTCTCTGTGGAAGATTAGAACCAGGAAAGGCCACTGTAGAGAGAGGCTCAAGAAGCCTTTTCTCTTTTCTGCAGTGCCCAGATGGAAGGGAGACAGTGATCATTATTGGCATGTGTAGAAACTCCATGTGTTCTGGGCTGGGTGCAGTGGCCCATGCCTGTAATCTCAGCACTTTGGGAGGCCAAGGCAGGTGGATCACTTGAGGTCAGGAGTTTGAAACCAGCCTGGCCAACATGGCAAAACCCCATCTATACTACAAATACAAAAATTCACTGAGTGTGGTGGTAGGCATCTATCATCCCAACTACTCAGGAGGCTGAGGCACTTGAACTCGGGAGGTGGAGGCTGCAGTGAGCTGAGATCGTGCCACTGCACTCCAGCCTGCAAAGCAGAGTGACGCTCTGTCTCAAAAAGAAAAAAAAAAAAAAAATTCCTTGTGTTCTGAAGACAAAAGTAACCCCATAAAAGGACATCAGATTTGCCAAGAACAAGAGAGCTCTTTGTGGCACTTGGGGCAGCATCAGGGAAAGTAAAACAAAATAAGAAATCTCACCTGCTTGCAGACGACCTCTGTGCGAGCGGACCCTAATGAGGTGTCCAGGCGTCTCAGGATCCCTGTGTGGCTTTCATCAGAGCCAGACGTACCATGAGCCTCAGAAAACGAAGGCCACCCAGTGCCAGAGCAGTACTTTTTCTCAGAACTGTGGAAGACATAAACAACACAACAGCTGCTAATGACACTGTCATTAACATGCCAAGAGGGTTTCATGCCCCAGCGTGTCTTACCAGTGAGCAGGATCTGTTCCTACTCTCCTCTGCCAGATCCCAGTTCTGTGACAGTCAGTCCCATGGGAATCGTCCTCACTGCACCTTCACTATGGAAGCCATTGCCTATCGAAGTGAAAGGACTTCTCAATGTCCAACAAGGATCTAAAAACACATGGTGCTTTGTGAACTGTGTTGCATATTAGGTAACACAGATCAAACCCATGTGTTGAAAATGTAAAAAAGGGAGAAATCAAAACTAACTACTAATGGTCAGAGGAAGTCATCATCTTGGTGCATCACGGAAGTGTACAGAAGGTCTGATGAGAAAGTCATCCTTAGCAATGGGAATTTCAGCTTATCTAAACACAGACGCCTCAACAGGGATTCAAAAGCTGCCTCTGGCCACTTCTTAGCTGTGTGAAATCACAGCTCTTGAAGCCTCAGTTTGCTCACCTAGAAAACGGGAATAGTATCTACCCCATGGGGCTGTTTTGAAGATTTGAGGGGAAACTCTGTGAAGTGTGATATAAAGCTTAGCACATGGTAAGTGCCCTGAATGCTTGCTGTGATGATGATGATGATTAATTAATACACCTGGTACCTGGCATCAATCACTGCAGTGAAATCTAACCCTCCAGAAGTCTCCCAGGGACTCATGATGCTGATACAAGATGAAGGAGAAGGACAACAGGCAAATCCACTCACCAAGACCCACCGTCTAAGTGCTCTAATGGATAAGCTCCCTTAAATGACACTGGGAAAATAGTCTTTAAAACATTGCTATGGCAAGGAAATGGCTCTCTCTATCTGAGAAAGAAAGAGAATAATTGAATATTAAACACAGAAACAACAAACTAAGAAGAAAAAGTGGCCAAGAATCAAATCCCTAGACTATGAACACAGAAGAAAGCATAGCTGACAGCACAAACTCCCACAGAAACAAATGTGTAATGCAGCAATTCTCAAACATTTTGGTCTCAGCACCCCTCTATGTCCCCAAAATTAATAGAGATCACTGAGAGCTTTTGTCTATGAGTTATATATGTCAATGTTTAACAAATTATAAATTGTAACTGAGAATTTAAAACTATGTGTGCATTACGTTTGTTTTAATATAGGTTGAGGGCCCCTTATCTGAAATGCTTAGGACCAGAGTGTTACAGATTTCAGATCTTTTTGAATTCTGCATTTTACTTGATGGTTCAGCACCCTTAATCTGAAATCTGAAATACTCCAATGAGCATTTCCTTTGCGTATGATGTTGGTTCTCAAAAAGTTTCAGATTTGGCTAGGCGTGGTGGCTCACACCTATGATCCCAGCTCTTTGGAAGGCGGAGGTGGCTGGATCACTTGAGCTCAGGAGTCAGAGACAAGCCTGGCCAACATGGTGAAACTCCCTCTTTACTAACAATAGAAAAACTAGCTGGGCATGGTGCACGCCTGTAGTCCTAGCTACTTGCGAGGCTGAGGCAGGAGAATAACTTGAGCTGAGGAAGCGGCAGTTGCAGTGAGCAAAGATCAAGCAACAGAGTGAGACTCCGTCTCAAAAAACAAAAAAGTTTCAGATTTGGGTGAATTCAGATCTTGAATTTTCAGAGTAGAGATGCTCAACCTGAAATAAGTTTATTACATGTTAACATAACATATATTTATGGGAAGGAGGACTCAAGATGGCACTGTGAGAACAACCCAGGATTGGAGCTCTCATTGAATCCGCGGAGAGGTGAGTCGGAGCTGCATTTCCAGACTGATCTTTGTTGCCCACAGAACGGGGAAATTCCCAAGTATAAAGGAGACGCGGGACACCAGGCAGTACCTCTGCCTGGCGAAGCCAGCAGCTGAGGTGGCGGCGGCCGGCCCTACCCAGCACTCCCCACAGGGCGCGCTTGTCCGGGTGCCCTGTTGAACCGGCAACCTGAGACTTGAGAGGGCTGGACTTGAGACTGAATGAGACTTGGACAGTGGGCCAGCCCAGGGGATTGCAGGGACAGAGCGTTTGGGATAGCCCAGTGGGACGAACAAAACCGCGATTTCAAACGATCCCGAGCAGACGGTCTGAGACGCTCTGTGGGGGAGGGGCGCCCACCACTACCGAGGCAACCCGCCCCAACTGAGATACACGCCCACTGCTGACGCAGCCAGCCGTTGCCAAGGCAACCCGTCCCTACTGAGATACACGCCCACTGCTGATGCAGCCTGCCATTGCCGAGGCAACCCGCTACAACAGAGAGACTCCGCCGCAGGGCGTGGTGGAGACCACAGCAGAACAGCAGAGCCTGCAGCAATAGGGCAAACCTCACAACAGCAGGGCGGAGCCTCGGCAGGCAAACAGTGGCTAGTCTGCCTCCTAGCTGGGCAGGACACCTCAACGGACATCCAAATATAAAGCCTGAACCCCCCAACACAGAGCATTTGAGAAAAAAAGGGTTTTTTTTAATGAGCTCTGTTGCAGCAGAATCAAACATAGCAGCCTAACAGCCCTGAATGAACAACAGAGCTCACAGCTCAGCAATTGAGGTCCTATAAAGTACAGACTGTCTCCTCAAGCAGCTCCCTGACCCCTCTATATCCAAAAGACTGACATTTGGCAGGCATCATCCTGGGACAAAGATAGCAGAAAAAGAAACGGGTAGCATCCCTCGCTGTGCTACAGCTGCCAGAGGTGCACCCCAGACAAGCAGGGCCTGGAGTGGACCTCAGCAGTCGTACAGTGAAGGAGCTAGACTGGTAGAAGGAAAACCAAGTAACAGAAATACTTCATCATCAACAATCTGGGTGTCCACTCAGAGACTCAATCGAAAAGTCAGCAACTACACAGACAACAAGCGGATAAACCCACAAAGATGGGAAGAAACCAGCGAAAAAAGGAGGAAAACGCCTGAAACCAGAACCCTCGCCTCCTAGAAAGGACCAAAACTCCTCACCAGCAAGGGAACAAAGCTGGACGGAGAATGACTGTGACGAAATGATGGAATTAGACTTTAGAAGGTGGATAGTGAGAAACTTTTGTGAGCTAAAAGAACATGTATTAAATCAATGAAAAGAAACTAAGGAACTTGAAAAAAAGATATGAGGAAATGATAACAAGAATGGATAACTTAGAGAGGAATATGAATGAATTAAAGGAGCTGAAAAACACAATACGAGAACTTCGCGAAGCATGCACAAGTTTCAATAGCCGAATTGACCAAGCAGAAGAAAGAATATCTGAAGTCGAAGACCAACTCAATGAAATAAAACAAGAAACCAAGATTAGAGAAAAAAGCACAAAAAGGAATGAACAAAGTCTCCAAGAAATGTGGGACTATGTGAAAAGACCTAACCTACGTTTGATAGGTGTACCAGAAGGGGACGAAGAGAATGAATCCCAGCTGGAAAATACTCTTCAGGACATCATCCAGGAAAATTTCCCCCACCTAGCAAGACAGGCCAACACTCAAATGCAGGAAATACAGAGAACACCACAACTCTGCAAGAAGAGCAACCCCAAGACACATAATCGTCAGATTCAACAAGGTTGAAATAAAGGAGAAAATACTAAGGGCAGCCAGAGAGAAAGGTCGGGTCACCCACAAAGGGAAGCCCATCAGACTCACAGCAGATCTCTCAGCAGAAACACTACAAACCAGAAGAGAGTGGGGGCCAATATTCAACATTCTTAAAGAAAAGAACTTTCAACCCAGAATTTCATATCCAGCCAAACTGAGCTTCAGAAGTGAAGGAAAAATAAAATCCTTTGCGAACAAGCAAGTACTCAGAGATTTTGTCACCACCAGGCCTGCTTTACAAGAGCTCCTAAAAGAGGCACTACACATAGAAAGGAACAACCAGTACCAGCCATTCCAAAATCACACTAAATGCTAAAGAGCATCAACATAATGAAGAATCTACAGCAACTAACAGGCAAAACAGCCACTTAGCATCAAAATGACAGTATTAAATTCACACATAGCAATATTAACCCTAAATGTAAATGGACTAAATGCACCAATCAAAAGACACAGACTGGCAAATTGGATAAAAATCCAAAACCCTTCAGTGTGCTGTATCCAGGAAACCCATCTCACATGCAAGGATACACAAAGGCTCAAAATAAAGGGATGGAGGAAGATTTACCAAGCAAATGGAGAGCAAAAAAAAGCAGGAGTTGCAATTCTCATCTCTGATAAAATAGACTTTAAAGCAACAAAGATCAAAAGAGACAAAGAAGGTCATTACATAATGGTAAAAGGATTGATACAACAAGAAGAGCTAACGATCCTGAACATATATGGACCCAACGCAGGAGTACCCAGATACATAAGGCAAGTTCTTAATGACTTACAAAGAGACTTAGACTCCCATACAATAATAGTGGGAGACTTTAACACTCCACTGTCAATATTAGACAGATCAACCAGACAGAAAATCAACAAGGATATCCAGGGCTTGAACTCAGACCTGGAGCAAGCAAACCTGATAGACATTTACAGAACTCTCCACCCCAAATCCACAGAATACACATTCTTCTCAGCACCTCATCACACCTACTCTAAAATTGACCACATAATTGGAAGTAAAGCACTGCTCAACAAATGCAAAACAACTGAAATCATAACAAACAGCCTCTCAGACCATAGTGCAATCAAGTTAGAACTCAGAATACAGAAACCGACCCAGAACCGCACAGCTTCATGGAAACTGAACAACTGGCTCTTGAATGTTGACTGGGTAAACAATGAAATGAAGACAGAAATAAAGAAGTTCTTCGAAACCAATGAGAACGAAGACACAACATGCCAGAATCTCTGGGACACATTTAAAGCAGTCTCTAGAGGAAAGTATATAGCAATAAGTGCCCATATGAGAAGAATGGAGAGATCCAAAATTGACACCCTGTCGTTGAAACTGAAAGAGCTAGAGGAGCAAGAACAAAAAAACTCAAAACCCAGCA